AAAGCTAACCGCAAGCAAAATGGAGTGACACTAACCGCAAGCAAAATGGAGTGACGCTAACCGCAAGCAAAATGGAGTGACGCTAACCGCAAGCAAAATAGAGTGACACTAACCGCAAGCAAACCTAACCGTGCTAACTGCAAGCAAGGAAGGTAAACATGTGCAGCGGTTTATTAACACGTCTAGCTTGTATAAGCAACATCCAGGCGTCCAACCCCATACTCCGCCCGGGCGTTATATTTTCCCACACCCCTGGCGAAAGAAAACCGCGAGAAAAAAAATGGCCGCGCAAAATCCTTTCGCGCGCTCCTCGCCCCCAGGATTTCCCGCGGCCATTTTTTTCTCGCGGTTTTCTTTCGCGTCACGCACGACGGACTAAGCGAAAGAGGGACTACTCGTAGTCTAAGCGCTTCTCGAACAATGAAGATAAGCTATAAATGGCTAAGGAAAGCTATGAATTCTATGCATGAGAACTTAATTTTAGCTGCCTTGAAAACAAATAACTTACGTCAAAATGGATTCATTCGTCGTATCTTTGGGAATGGCCCATTCCATTTTTTATCCGTCCCCCCTCCTACTGAGGACCTAGGAAATCTGACGGGGAGGCGAGGAGTCTTTAAAGGCCGTTTCTGTTGGGGTAACTGTGTCAGCACGTTTGATCGTTTAATAATTTTTGAAGGGGGAAGTGTGTCGGCACTTTGATCTTCCTTTCTTAGGGGGTCAAAAGTTTACTTTTCTGAGGGGGTGAAATTGAAAGCTCCTCAATACGGGGGATGCGGATATTAAATGGAATGGCCCAATTACTAGTTGAATTACTATGTGAAGAATAGTCCGTCTATATCACCGAAAGCTCTCCGCTCCTATGAATTTCGAAGGTCGTTTGGCCCACATGGAAGCGATGGTAGTCACTCTCGAATGGGGAGCGCCAAATTGCAGTGCTCTGGTCAAAGATATCGGAGGCTTAAACCACATTAACAGTTTTAAAACGTTGACCATTGACTTTCTCAGACTTAAAAATGGGTGTGACACGTACAGTGAGAGTAAGCCCCGTCGAGTTGAACATCAGGAATTGATGTCCCTTTACATAACTTTGCTTCGACAAAATGCCCTTCTCTCGTCCAGCTCTGCGATGTAGCTTCTACGCGACTCGTCGACTCGAGAAAAACATGCTTCTTTACGATTGACACTTTCTACCCCAGGTCCGGGGACTTTCCCCAAAGCCAATAAAGCGTTACGTTGTTGAGAAGCGGACTTTCAAAAGTAATTCAAAAGTCCTTTCTCCGTTTGTCGCTTCGTAGCAAGTCTTCACTGTGTCGCACAACGTGAATGGCGTGCCTTGCGTTTTTATACTTTACCTGTTATGTAAATATGTAAGAATTGAGAAGGAGCACCAGGGAGGAGAATGATGTTTCAATAATCAGCGGTCAAAACCATGTCATGCGCGTCAGAGCCAAGAGACACATGGAGTAAAGGCAACATGGCGGGTTTTACGAAAATACTACACTGACCTGTCGTCCCAGTGGATTTATTCAGTCAACCAAGAAGAAATACTAATACAATAAGGAAAGATTAAATTCTTGTCAATCATGTCGTCGAGTTTTGGCGATTTGCTGCAACAGGCAGAGCAACTGACGGCCGACATGGATAGTGGCTGGGAACTCCCGCGTGTAGAGAGAAATCTTCACCAACTCGCCGAGGCTGGGCAGAGATTGTGGTCTCAAACTACGGGAACTGCTGGAGATAATGCTCAGGTCAAGGCGTAAGTACGGTCATTGTGTGGTACTAAATTACGTTATAAGCCAGCAAATACCGCAGTTATTAAGATTAAAGCTTGTAATGTATGTAAGGTTAAACTTGTAAATGCCAGGCTGACTTAGAGTGATACATGTAGTTGTCAGAATTTAGAGAAACAGTAACAAAGTGCGTTTATTTGCGTTCTGGAAGGAGCGAGATTGTCATCTATCAAATTTTCTGTGGTTGATTTACATGCACATGTTAAGCACTTGATGACTGGCCCCACGGGAAACAGTGAGCTTTGTTTTCCCAACACCCCCAATAATAGGCCCTTTGCAGCTGGGGTCACGTGACCAAATTTTTTCGAGAAAATTTTCATATTATGGGCTATGACTTGAAGAATGCCAGAAATGGAAAGAGCGCATCGAAAATACCAAAATGGCCAAGTTTGACGCCCCTGGCATTAAAGAGTAAGTTTATATGACAGGTTGATTTTTCGGAAAATTTAAAGGATTTGTTAGGAAAATGTTGCTGGAGAGCAAGGCCTTGCTCTCCAACAACTTTTTCCATACAAATCTTCTTATTCTTTTAAATATTCAGACCGTCATAAAATCTCATTCCTTAATGATGGGGGCCTCAAACTTGACCATTTTGATATTTTCGACATGCTTTTTCCATTTCTGGCATTTGTTAAGTTATAACRCATAATTTTATGAAAAGTAGGTCACGTGATGGCTTAGCTGCAAAGGGCCTATTTTATTCACTGTTTCCCGCAGGCCAGTCACTAAGAGTTTTGTTATATCTCCCAACTCAAAAATGAAAAAAAGAAAACTGCAAAAAAATTGTTTGCCACAGTTTCAAGGAGCACAACCTGATCATGTGCAAGTCAAAAGTTCAAGTCATTGTTACCCTTGGGAGTTGGTGTGTTTTGTTTGCCCTAGGGAGTTAGTGAGCTTTGACCAACAACATGTGACACGATTTGGAAAATGTATTTGAGTTGGCAGGTAAAAAATATGGTTTGACACCCTCCCTCCCCTACAAAATAAAAATGGTAAGACATGCCTTCATCATACATGTATGTAATAACACTGCCAGTGAAACAGGAAATAAAGTTGGCAGGAAAAACAAACTGTAGGATCACAATCATCAGTGTTATATACAGGCAAAATTGTTGGTACATTGTACTAGTTTATTAATCTGTTTTATCACAGTTCCATTCTGCTGGGTACCAAAGGCTTTGATGTCCCACGGCTGTCAGAAAAACTGGATCGTCTGGACACAGCTAAGACGTTTGAGCCTCTTGAGCCTGTTAGAGAGACTGACATTCAGGTAAATGTGTGTTGTCCAAAGTATACATAGTGGTTTGAATCCCTCTCCTCTTCTACCTAGCTTTATAGTTCCCTTTATGAACTTGAACTTTATAAAATTCCCCTCCCCCCAGCATGAAAGCAACAATCCTTTTGGTGTGTATGTATGAAAAGATATTTGTAGGAACCACCCATTAGCTTGGAAGGTAAAAGTCCTTGGTAGTTTGGCTTAAAGGTGTGAAATTTCTTTCAGGGTTTTCTTCGAAATGAGAGGGAAAATGCTATCTTAGCTGCTATAGAGGAAGCTCGAAAAAATGTAAGTTCCAACACAGGCAGCCCAAGCACAAGATCAGAGGAAATAATTAATGTAAATGAAACATATGAATGTGACTCTTGCCTTTGAGCGGTGTTGTGTTACAAAGATGCGATTTACAAGGGTTTGTATGGGAACTTTACAGGTTTGCTTTAAATACCTAAAATTTAATGTTCTGTGAATAAAACTGACTTACCTTTCCTGTCGTATTCTTTGTTGTTTCACAGTGTTTGAGGCCGTTTTGAAGCGTTTTCAGCAAGTTAGCGCTGGTGGTGGTGTCCCACTAGAAAAAAACACAAGGCTGGCTGGCTCAGAATTGAACCATCATACTGCAAAGGCCAAAATATTCCTGAGGAATGGACGGAGCCGATTCAAATCACAATCAGCTGAAGTGTGAATACCTCGCTTCCCAGTCCGTCGGTGGCTGGTTCACAAATCTCAATGCAACGGCCTGAAAATCGCTCCTTTACCAGCTCAAATCTGCCTCTCTCGCTGCTGCATCATGCGTATAGCCAACGGTGAGGATACCAGATTTGAAAATCGTCAGATTTCACCGGATACTGCTAATGCTTTATGGGTTATTTGAAACCCTGCGAAAAGCCACGAACGCATTCAGAGCATATGTGTCATATTTGATGCAGTGTACCCTCGCACGGTTTTGATATGCATTTTGGCAATAGTTCCGTCCCACCCCGACCAAGTGCTGTTTTTGTTGAGCGAATGCGGTCACTAAGCTTCAATTTTCAAATCTGGTATCCTTACCATTGGCTATACGCATGATGCAGCAGCGAGAGAGGCAGATTTGAGCTGATAAAGGAGCGATTTTCAGGCCGTTGCAATGAGATTTGTGAACCAGCGACTGACGGACTGGGAAGTGAGGTATTCACGCTTTGGCTGATCGTGATTTGAATCGGCTCTGTCCATTCCTCAAGAATATTTTGGCCTTTGCAGTACGATGGTTCAATTCTGAGCCAGCCAACCTTGTGTTTTTTTCTAGTGGAACACCACCACCAGCGCTAACTCGCTGAAAACGCTTCAAAATGGCCTCAAACACCGTGAAACAACAAAGAATAGGACAGGAAAGCAAGGTAAGTCAGTTTTATTCACAGAACATTAAATTTTAGGTATTTAAAGCAAACCCATAAAGTTCCAGTACAAACCCTTGTAAATCGCATCTTTGTAACACAACACCACTTGAAGGCAAGAGTCACGTTTTCATACGTTTCTTTTACATTAATTATTTCCTCTCATCTCGCGCTTGGGCCGCCTGTGGTTCCAATAACCATTCATTGCAGAGCTCTGGTGGCCCAAAGGGTTGCCAAGTGGTGCCCATAACTATAGGAACAGCACCACATGCATGCATGCAAATAGAAAACCATGCAACTCTTTTTTGATGGTTAATATGGCTAGCGGCGTGGATTGTAGGTGTATGTGTCCAATGATGATGACAACGTTGCACAACATGGCGGCCATATTCCATCTTATAGGAAATACAGCCTTGGTTTACAGCATATATCTTTGATATTGGATATCTATTTTATGGTCAAGTGACACCTGCCAAAACAAGGTATCTGCTGACCAGTACCATGTGACCACATTGCAGGCTCAAGTTTTGAGCTCGTGTGACGCATTTTTTCTTTTATTGAGTTAACCTCGGACTAAGTACTGGCTCTTCCATTGGATCACAGGCTCAAATTAGGTTAATTTACTGTAATCAGTGTCATGTTGTTCGGAACTAAGGTGGTTAACGCTAACCCAAGATGAAAAGCTAACACCAAAGTATAAATATTTATTGTCTAAACATATTTTTCTTTGCTTATGTTTTGTGTAGTTTGAGATTATTTAAACTCACAAGGCCAAACAGTGTAAACAGAAAACCTCACCGCAATGTCAAAAAAACTCAAATGAAAATTCTCAATCATCCTGGGTTACCTTAGTCAGGCATTGAACAACCTCTGCTTTTAGGCTTAGCTAAATCTATATATTATTTATTCAGGTATACATAAAGCATGCCAAGTGTATTTAGCCATTGTTACAATGCAGTGTTGTTTAGAATCTCTGATAGTATAGGTTGTACATTCTAAACTGATGCTAGTATTCATTGTATATATACCACTTTATGCAATTAGACATTTAACCAGGCTGAGAGGCATCAATGGTCCTGTATGGAGAATGAATGGGAAAAAGAGAAAGAGAAAATTCTAAATTCGCTGCTGGGAGCTGGACAGGAGACATTAGACTTCTCTGCAGAGGCTGAGGTTTGAATTAAAATCAACTTCTTTGTGAACGCAAATAGTTTCAAAGGTGCGACATAAGCATGCTATTGTTTGAGTAGAGAATAACGTATACAGTCTTAATAACCCCCGTTCAAAGTAGTAACATAATGACATGCATGTAACAACGTAAGCATGGCAACATAAGAAGGACATTATTTGTTATGTTTGCAGTGTGAACATCCTAAGATAATGACATAATAGCAACATAATATGAACGTAACTACATAAAGAAAAAAAGATCTTTTCCTTATGTCTTTACGTTGATCATAATCGATTATGTTATTATGTCGTTTTTGTCGTTATGTCACTAGTATGAACCAGGCCTTACTGCCAACTTCCCACTTTAGAGGATACTTAAATTGGTTTTCAAATTAATTTTTATAATGCGAGCGGTTATAGTTTTTGTTAATTTTATACCTATGTATATTTAGGTATTCACCACCAGTTCATTAAATTTACAAGGAAGAAGTGCCCTTGATGCTACTGAACTGGCTTATGCCAGACAGGTAAGACTGAAAATGAATATTAAGATTTTCACAGTTAAAGTGGTACTGTGACGAAAATCACATCTTTCCTATCTAAGACATTTTAAAACATAACCAAGTAGTCTGCATGAGAAGAAAAATGCTGTTTACTATTTTCAAATATCTCTTTTTGTTCCAGAGATATTCAAGTTTTTAAAATATATAAATTAGCCAAGTGATGATGTCACACACTCAGCCAAATATGGATCAAATATTATGAAGAAAGATATCTCGACCAATTTGTATCAGAAGTGTTTGATTCTTTGCAGTAAGATTCTACTAAACGTGCTACACAATACAAGATGAACAGTTTTGTTACCATGGCAACATACTGGGTTCCAGACCTCCCCACTACTAAAGGTTTTTCTGGCCAACTTTGGTCTTCCATTTTGATATTTGCTAATGGTGCCTCATATGCATGATTCAGCAAGCATATAAATATGTTAGCTTGAGTTCGTGGCCTCATTTAATGTTTTTCGACCTGAAAATCACTAACATATTGATATCAAGTGGGTGGGGACTGGAAAAGAGTCAGTTGCCTTGGGAACAGAATTTTCATAGTAGTAGGTGTGTTGCCTGTAGAACTATTAGCCTACCAAGTTTCAATGGTCTGTGCTGCAAATTGACCGAGATACATGTAGCTCTATTCATAGACTTGATATAATACTGGGTTGAGTGTATGACATCATCAGTCATCTTATTTGCATATTTCACACATTTTTCAAACTTAAATATCTCCAGAACTAATGCAGATATTTGCAAATGGTAAATGGCGTTTTTATTCTTTCATGGAATTCTATGTGATACACCTAAAAAATCAAGGGGTAAAAATTTGATCATAGTACCTGATTTTAATTAGTTGAATGTATATTAAGTTTGTTGTTGTTATTTTTGTTGATCTTTGAATGGTTTACAGGTTTACATCCATAATGAAGCTCTGATTCAGTCAGCAAGGCACAACATAGTGGATGGATTCCTTGAAATGACAGACAGATTTGGAGATCCGGTGAATGTCAATTAAATGTTGATCACTGTTAAGGATGAGCATACATGTTTTTAAAAGTTGCAGAACCTATTTTATATTGTAGACTGCCTCCTGTCTTCTCTTGTCTGACTAAACTCTGCTTTATTTCTTGCTTGTAATGTGTTATGACCTTTTGATTGTGTTGTTTTTTGTTGTTACTTTGTTCTTTTTTCACAGATCATCAAGGATATGTGGATCTTTATCAAAGACCTGGGAGAAGAACTACAACATTCTCATGGTTCCTCTCAGGTCCAGACAGAGAAAGTTCGGTGAGAGTCTTACCCAATGACATTAACATTAGCAGTGTGACTATCACCTTAAAGCAGATTCAGCATTGCTGCATGTACAGGTGTACAGTGCCAAAGCCTACATTGGCTACAGCAGATAAAAACAGTGGAGGTCACTTATAATTTGTAAATTTATGTAAATTTATGTTCGTTTGTGACTGGATTGGAGCCATGACTATCATTAGCCCAGCAATCAAAGACCTTAATCTTATTGGCATTACCTGCTTCACATTGTTTGGATAAAGTGTTCATATACTAAGATAATATTAAGTATTTAAGTTTGAAAAATTACTAATTAATGATAATAAATAATAAGAATAATGTAATTCAGACTTACTCCTATTGTTGCTTCTTTGCTTGTTTTTTGTCACAGGTTTTCCCTTGATTTTCAAATGGCATTTATTCAAATGGCAAGAATTTTCTTAGAAAAAAGGTATGAATTACAATTTTCATTTTGTGTAAGTTGCACTTTTTATTTTTTCATAGCAGAGGAAATAATTTTACAAGTACATTAGGTTGTTTTCGGGTTATGATTGTGTGACTGTGTGTGTCTTGTTTGGCATTTAAATATCATCACTGTGATTTAGTTATTTGCAGTTTTTACCATCTAATAAATCCACTGACAGCAAGAATTGTTTCAGAAAATTAATCCTTACTAATTTTTCAAGTTGACTACAGTACGTGTATGACATTAAAATAATATAATTGGAGTATTTGAAGTGTTATGAAACATCCAGTAACAGAGCATCTCTTTTATGGGAACCAAAGCAAAGTAAAACACTCTTTTGTACCATAATTTTCTGCATCTCCAGGTACAAAAATTTTGTCCAGGATACAGTCTATGACAACCTGCATCAAGCAAAGTTAGGAGGAGTGCCAGGCACTTTTCACCTGGTCAAGAGCTTTCTGAAGATTAAACTTCCAACTGTTGTCCAAGGATTAGAGGTACAGCTGTAAATTTTTACCTGCGTATGTGTGTGACACCCAGCCAGTTGAACCTTACAGAGTAATGAACAGGATGAATTCCGGTTCCTCGAAATCATAACAAAATGACACCTAGGTATCCGACAGACATTTTTAAGGACTGCGCTTTAATAGCAGTAACTTCTTTGTCTTTTAAAGATTAACTTCATTTGTAGCTACATTTTTGTACTATTGCGATAGAAAACTGATGTGGCCAGCTATTTCACCTTGGTCTTTTTAGCTCTCCTGATGCCATGGGGCACATGACAGTTCAAACTTGGTCTGGATGTTAGAGAATAACATCCAGACCAAGGTAATCAATCTCATTATTATGTTCATTTTCCTCTCATTGTTTTCATTTTGACTTACCTAATACAGCAACACTTGGAAATGCACAGTAAATCTCAAATGCACATACAACTCTTAATGTCAGCTTTCCTGTTTCACTCACATGGTCACTAAAGGTAAAATTCATGTTGTTGTTGTTAACAGGATGGGGATGTTGATGGTTCCCCATTATGGCCTTTGATTTACTATTGCCTGCGATGTGGGGACCCAAAGGCAGCTTTACAGGCAGTTCAGTATGTGCCGTAAGTAGAAATCATATTGAAGCATTGTGTTAACCATTATGTTATATTATAAAATAATTAAGTCAATTCCAAATCTTTCATCCTTTTACATTAGTATTAAGCAGTGTAGCATTGGTGATCAAAATGTGACAGAATACAACAACATCAGTAACATCCTGTAAGTTTCAGTTACATATTCGGTGTTAAATGTTACTCATTTTGTTATATTCAGACAGCATTTGGGAGAATTCAGAGACTTTTTTGCTGAGTACATGAACAGCAAAGAGAGAAGGTCAGTGATCCAACTACATGTGTATGTTCATCGGAGTAATTTAATGCACAAATCAAGTACAAAATTATTCCATGTTAATTGTGGTCTTTCCAGTTCTCCTGACAATTTGTAACCCAAACACAGCTCAGCCTTATTTTCAGAAGTGAAAAAAAATAACATTTGAATAATAAATTTATTAACCATCAGGTATTTCATCCCACCCTATGGGATTTTCAAACTGGAGCTGCACTCAAGAGAATGTACTGTAACACTACACACAAAATGTCTCAAGATGGAACAATTTTATTTTAGGCATGTGTTAAGTACAATACAGAGTGATGCAATTATGATCATAACATACATTTATTGTGATTATCATTGTCCTCAGACTGAGTCCCAGCTCAGAAAGTAAACTTCGTCTTCAGTACAGGCGATCTATCCGTACCAGCCAAGATCCTTTTAAAAAGTAAGTTGTGCTACTCAACATTTCCACTGAGGAGGAAATGTCAGTTCTTCTTTACTGATTGCAAATTCATTTCCTTGTTAAAGGCTGGCACCGATAATTCTTTGGTACACTAAGTCAACAACACAAAGTCTGATATAATTATTGTCTCTTGCAATATGCATGTAGTTGACACTATTTAGCTGTCTATGTGTTGCAAGGATCACATTTTGTTACTCTTTGAATTGATGTTATTTTTCATGTGGTTTTTTTTTTTCGTGATTGGCAGGGCAGTGTACTGTTTGATTGGTCACTGTGATGTGATGCTGGATTCTCATCAGGAAGTTGCTAACAAAACTGAAGATTACTTGTGGTTAAAGGTATGCATGGATACTGTGATACATGTACACATGTAGAATTTCTAAATGATCTTTTAAAATAAAGTGCGATCAAGTGGACACCTTAGTGACCAGACAAAGTATTCACTGAGGAGGAGTGTCTTCTAATGAGATATTAGAGTGTGCATGAGTGACAAGGTGTCTTTGATTTGATTTTCAACCGTAAGACAGTTACTGTGAAACTATCATGGATTAGCGTTCAAGATCTTGTCCCAGAAAGGTTACACTGACTGTGTACTGATGTCTAGTTAAAATATTGGGACATTTTGATTTGGCTAATGCTGAAAAACCTTGTCTCGTGATCAGTTGATAGTTATATGGCCACCTTACTTAAACTTTTTACAGCCGGCTTAACTGCCTGAACAACAGTTCATGTCTCTAGACAATCCAATATAGCCTTGGCAGATTAGTCGATCTGTTATCTGGGGGGGGGGGG